TGGTTCTCGCTCATGGGGAAGCCTAGACCCGCACAATCGGCAAGCTAATTTTCGCCAAAAAATTGAGAGAGCAACACGAGACTAGCTCGTGCTAGGGAAGAAGTCGATAGTGGTGTTTTCAAGCCCAACAGAGAGAAGGATGAATTGACATATGCCCTAGAGAATCCCGAACACGGTGGTCGAACAAGAGGCTATGGGGCGTTCCGTGGCTACACGCATTCCTAGCGAACAAGGATACCTCTGAAGCCGCCAGAGAGAAAAAGGATGAGGAGGCGAGAATCGAATCCGTGCATTGGAGCAATTTGTTGATGAGTCACGACAAGCATTGCTTGAATCACGTGAACGAGAAAAATCTCTTGAGGCAAGAATGCAGGAGGAGATCAAGAGGCAAGTGCAGCTAGCAATGAGTCAAATGCAATCGCAATCAACGCCGGAGTCACCATTAGCCCCGTTAGTCGATGAAAAGCGGTTGTGCTTCTACGAGCTGCTAGTTATTCAAGACGACGCTGGGTTGCGCTTCCTGTTGATGACATTACCGAGCCTCTAACAACATGTGAGCTGCACATTCCGGATGGTAATAATGCATCAATCATGGTGGTGCATCGGGTTGTATCTCCAATAGACCGAACGAAGACACCAAGAATCCATGGGTTAGTTATTCAACCCGGGATATGCTAGCGTCTCGATCGATAGAGTGCTCAAAGGTTACAACAATGTTCCTCTTGACATTGAAAGCGGTGATGGGGAGAAGACACTAGGAGAAGCGGAGAAGACATTTATTCAATGGCGCAAACGCTTCATCATCATTCTGAAGCGCCACCGCTTCCCCTACCTCACCCTAGGTACGAATGAAAGTGAATGAAATATTATTTTCCATTAATTTTCTATTGGCTTCAAAAATAATTGACACACAACTTGTTTTTGTAGCAGGTCTCCCCCATCCTAGCCTAATCATTCATTCCCCATCTCATCACAAAGTCGTCATGGGGGCGAGACGACTTCATCCCCACGGCGATCACCAACTCCTACACCGCCCCATCGCCTCCACAACGATCTCCAACTCCTACACCGCCCCACCGCCTCCACAACGATCTCCAACGCCTCACGCCGGTCTCCACCAACACCGGCCTCATCGCCTCCACGCCGGGTCTCCAACACCGCCCCCCCCCCTCCACAAATGACGCACTAAAAAAGACATCTAAGGTCCCGCAAAAAGAAGACCCCGAGAAAAAGAGTTATTTCTCAAGAAATACTTCCTGAAAAGACTGATGAGCAAATAGCAGCCGAAGAAGACAAAAAAGTGAAAGATTTTTTTATAGATATAAAAAACAAGAGTCAAGCGAAGCTTAAGGAGAAGCCGTACTTTTACATACCACGAGATGTGTTGAGGCAGAAGGTCGATGCTCACAAGAAAAAGATGATTGAACTTCGTAAGCCTTCGCCACTATCAGACTATGACCGCTCCCTCGTGAAGTCACATGATGCAGATAAGAAAAGGAAAAGAGCATCAGGGAAGGATGTCCCACAGCTCGGACAACAGAAGCAACCAATGTAAAATCTTGTTGTTGCTAATCAATATGGTTCCAACATAGAAGTCTATCGACCAGACAACTCTGGAGAAGTGTCGGTTCAAGCCCTTAATGCTTTTTTTCAAGATACTGGTTTAACCTTGGATCAATTGACGGGCAAAGCTCCAATCCAGAACCTGGAAGTTGATACCTGGAAGACTTATAAATATGGCAAAAGTCTGTACAACCCTGCGGCTCTGAATGAATTGGGTACGCAAATGTACTTGCTCAACAAGTGGTACATGCAGGCGTGTGGCAGGGGTGAGCATTGGATCTTTGTCAGATTTAGAGACCATCATTACTTCCGTGGCGATGACATCTTACATATTAGTTTCGAAGAATTGCATCAACTATACCACATGGACGCTCTGGACAAATCAATCATTAGCTCCTTTTGTTTGTAAGTGATTCTTACTTTTATTTAATAAACTCACTTCCATGCGTACGTGTATATAATTATCCTCACATGTAACTTATATTTATATACAGATTCCAGATGTCAGAGCTCCAAAGAATACAAGACACCAGTGTTGGCTTCATTGATCCTTATATCGTATTCAAAACCGGTATTATTGTCAAGGAGCGATGGGTATCTGAAGCACATGAGAATATCATGATGTTCTTCGTGAAGCAGCACGACAAGACAACAATACTTTTCCCGTACAACTTTGAGTAAGTGTTAATAATAATGTAGTCTACACATTTTATGTAATATCAATACAACTTATATGCATGTACGTGTGTGTATAAACCAATACAGTTTTCACTGGATAGTCATTGTTATTGAGTTAAACTCAAGTCGGTTACTAATCTTTGACTCGTTGAGAAAAGAATGGGCACTATACCAAGATATGATAGACATTATTCAGGGGTAATTTTGATCTCTCGCGCACAACTATTATTGAATAGACTTTGCCATAATTTATTAATGATCGTACATTATTGATCGCACAGGGTTTGGAAAGAGTTTATTCGGCAACATCGCAAGGATTGCAAGGCACCACTTAATGTAGTTGAAATACCAGTAAGTTGTACTATATACACTTCCCCACGTGTTTAATTACTATATCGTACTTCAATTTACGTGTGAGATGATGAGAATAATCTTCTTCTCGTACAGTGGTGTTTGCGGCAGGAACCAGGTAATAACTTGTGTGGATACTACGTTTGTGAATTTATCACTGCGCACATAAGAAGAACTCCTGAAGATGTCCTAGAGTATGTATATATCAATTTTTATTTATTTTTAAATGAATATATATACATATATGTGTATTAATACTTTTCCTTTTATTTCAAATGCAAGACTGAATGGTTGAAACGAAGGGTCATGCAAAAAGACCATCTGAAAGCAGTTCAAGAGTCAATAGCAGGATATCTTCTAGAAAAAGTGCTAAATCCCAACGGCGAGTTCTACTTTGATCCTAAGGAATAAATGATGTAAATTAAATGTTTATTGATATCGTTATTTTCGAGAACAAGATTATGAAAGTGTTGTATATATACATATATATATATATAATATATAGTTTCATACTTTATTCGAATATAATAATGCTCAAGATGAGAATTAGATGTAATTATACGCATGCGTGTATTTATATTAGCAGCGTAGAATACGTACATAAAAACATATTATATATTAAACAAATACGTGTAACTGAACTGAAAATAAATTAAACAAAAAAAAAAGAAAAAGAAAAGGAACCTTTAGTCCCGGTTGGGGTTACCAACCGGGACTAAAGGGTGCGCCAGGTTTGCTCGGCTGGAGGGCCTTTAGTCCCGGTTGATGTTACCAACCGGGACTAACCAACCGGGACTAAAGGTCCCTCTTTAGTCCCGGCTCGATGACCCGGGACTGAAGGTTCCACCTTTAGTCCCGGGATCGTTGTCCCAGCGCGGTAACCGGGACTAAAGGCTGTTACCGCCCGGGACAACATGTCCATTCTGTAGTAGTGCGTGCATGCATGAAAATTTAAATGTAAAAGGAGAAGGCGCAGTGATGTAAATCCCCATGGTAACTTCCTGCATGTAAAGGACACCTACAGCTTTAGATCGTGCTTGCATGCATGCTCATTCAATTTTCTATCAGATTCATTGAATGCATCCACTTGCTTCAGGCTACCCATGGCATGCATGCAAGGATGCTGGCTTCATTGAATGCATCCACTTGTTTCGGCCTAACCATGGCACGCATGCAAGAAAGTCGACTGTGAGGTACTACTTCATCTGGGTTGTGAAATTTCTATCTAACGCACCAACTAAATGAAACTTACGTGGACACCTTGGAAAGCCACCTAGACAGTGCGGCCTCATATCTCTAATGTGCAGCATGGAGACCCTACTGGGGCCACTGTTCGGCTGCTCGTAAAGCCGGTTGTGCTGATTTGTACGGCTGATTTATTGGGAGAGAAAAATAATGTACCATGGCTTATAAAGCGACTTAAAATGGCAGCCGAACACTCCTTCTTCTCCAAGTTCTTTGGCCAGTTTTAACATCTCTCGATGTGCCCTGGGAGGCGGAGACCTATCTTAAACTGCAAGGTTCAGTTAGGTGCAGAGTGTAACATCCTAATAGGTAGGCTAGGGGATCTTTTACCTTCTCTAGGAATTGCACTGTTCCTAATGTTCTCCTTCAGTTCATAACCACCAGGGATGACTTCCAAGTTCCAATTCTACAGTTTCATTACTACTCTATGTATAACTAATAAGAAAAGTCAAGAACGGAGTACATGATTGTTGGGAGAGGTGAAGAAAGACGCCTCATTTGATTCATAGTGCCGGCTTCGGTGGAGCAGATCCTTCAGCTGTTGCGTTCTGTCCATCCAAGGATCGGCGTCACTCACCAGCACTACGTGTCTGTGTCCACTGAGGCTGTTGTGATCGCCGCTGTCAAGGGTCACCGTTCTAGTTTCTGATTCTATCACGGCAGCAATGCCGTCGATCTCAGGGATCAACACCGTTCTAGTTTCTATCACCGGCATGTGATGGCCCTGATGGTACATGAGGTGATGGGGTTACGTTATAGAAACCGCACAACACAATTGTCAAAATGTATCAGGTGCAAAGGTGGTATTTCCACTCTTTTTTTAGAGCAAGTATTTATGAGCCACCTGTTGCATCTACTCAAGTGAACGTAATCATTCATCGCATCGCCGAAATGTGGTCTTGAAATGTAACTGACTAGGAGAGACGAATAATTGAAGTTGAAAACATCATGGAGCCTACTCAAGACATCATGCATATAGAATAGAGAAAATGAAAGACAAGCACCCTTAGTCAAGAGAACACCAGAAACTGGCTGTAAATCTGAACGAGTCTGGAATTTTGGATCCAGTAAAACAAGACAAAAAAAAGAACACAATACACTGTAACTCAATAACCACGAAATGAAAGGTATTATGTCATTTTCGGAAATCAATAACTCAGAATCTAGAATATGATGAGCACAACCACAGCCAAGTAAATCTGGAACAACAAGCAAGGTTAACTGTATCAATTGAATTATTATATCAACTGAAGAATTCAAGCTGTTACAACTCGTAATTGTTCTATCTATCTATTTCGGTGAACTAAGCGCCACAAATATTCAATACGCCTTGCTACTACGCAGTGAAGTCTTATACTCTTATACTTCACAAACAAAAAGACGTGAACAACAGTGGTTCATTTCTGGTGAAGCCAACTGAAGTTGTAGTACAGTAGGCGTACCATGACAAGTTGTATCAACAGATAACCATGCCCTCAAGTAGAGAGCTAGAAATCCCTCCTACCACAGGGTCCTCAAGCAGAGAACCAGGAACCCCCATCCCTAGACAAACCTTGACTAGTGGCTCAGAAAGCAGCAGACAATAGAACCATTGCTGCCCATAGAAGACCTCAGGCCTTCTTCAGCTCATCGCATGGACATCAGTATGCGCCTTTGGACAACTACCTTGGACGGCTGAGCAGCCTTTGGAGTTTCCTTCATATGACGCGTAACCATCTTTTCAATCTGCTCTATTGAACTTGACAGTTTCTTCTCCAGATCAGCAGGAGATGGATCATTTGGCTTGGATGGAGCCATCTGCAAGGAGCAGTCCGATGGAGATGATGATGCCTCTTGCTTGTCCTAAGCCACAGAAGTCACACTGTTTGCAACAGCTGAAGTTGAGCCACGACCAGAGGCAACAACACTCAGTGTTTCTTGAGTTTGCGTGCTTTGAGAATCAGGATCACTATGCTCTGCATGTACTGGAGTTGTTGGATCCACAGGCTGTGATGAATCTTCATTCCATTGGATATGTTGCCGAGCCGCATCCTCCTCTAGGCGACTTCTTTTCTCAAGAGCTTGTAAATTGCAGTTAGTACAACAGCATATCTCAGAGGATACATAATGCATCTAGATTTGGTATGTGTATGCATTTTTCCGTACCTATTGTTAACAGTGGACAAGCAAATTTTTGAGTGCATCAGCAAACAAAAGCATGGACTATCTATACTAAGTGAAATGTGATCATATGGGGCAAGTAACTGTCTACAGAGAAACAAACAAACTTTGCTGAGCTTGAAGCAAATTTTGCTACAAAATGTAAATTAACTATCAATGTGGTAAGCAACAATGACTCCGTATTTATACTAGTTCTTTATACAACAACAATATAATTACTTGTCCACAGGGAACAATTCCAATCCAGTGGATACGTACTGTATTAGCCTTCAATGATTCAAATCAAGAAATTTACATTGCACAGTATGCAAAGATGCTCTACATTGTGTATAAGCAAAAGCATAAAGATACTTCCATAGTTTTAGCATTGAAAATGACTGAAGCAGTAAAACTTCAGAACTGAAGAAAAGATACCAAAATATAATGTTATAGCAAATATCTTGAATATACTCAAGAACAATATGCACATTCTACAGATAAAGCAGAATTGAAGTTGCAAATATCCTGAATAGATTCATGAATGTTGAATTTATTATGTCATGTTAAATGAATGGGCATCTCTGAAGCGAGGAAGAGAGCCATATGAGATAAAAGTATACTCTAAGTGAGCTGGGTTTTTTTTTAGTCTTTATAGTTTCTATTACTAAAACAGGAAAAGCAATTTAGCAATGCATTTAGTGAACCTCCAACACTGCATTTACAAGATTAAAAGGGCGTACCCAGTGCAGAGAGCTCCCGCTCTGTGCGGGGTCTGGGGAAGGATGTTAGTGGCAAGCTTTACCCTCGCCTGTGCAATGCGAGGAGACCGCGACTCAAACCCGGGACCTTCCGGTCACAGGCGGTAAGACTCTACCGCTTACACAAGGCCCGCCCTTCACTGCATTTACAAGATTGTAAAGCAAAAAAAAAAAAACAGAAATATATATTAAATGGTGAAAAAATATCGATAAAATTGACCTTATTACTAGCTACCTCGGTCCCAAAATGTAAGTCTTTTATCATCCTAAGTCAAACTTCTTTAACTTTGACCATGTTTATAGAAAAATGCACAACATCACAACATCAAATTAGTTTCATTAAATCCACCATGAAATAAGTCTTAATAGTGCATTTATTCAGTATTGCAAATGTTAAATATTTTTTTTATAAACTTGGTCAAAGTTAGAAAAGTTTGGCTTAAGTCAAAACTAAAACAAACTAAATTTTGAAAGAGATGGAGCATTAGAACTTTCTCTGGTTTTGAGCACATTTATATTGCTGGCTATATAAACTGAGAATTGCAAGATCCAAGCAGATAGAACAAAATGGTGCTGATTGGCCTAAGACAATCTTTGCTAATCCATTTGAACTATACTGACTTTTATGTTAATCACTTATCACTGCACTAAGCATAAAAAGGCTTGCTTTAACCTGCAATTTCATGCTACTGTCATTCTCAGTTAAGTCATGGTGACACTATTAGTTCTAGCATGGTGAAGTTATGGCATAATATTAGCACAAAACAGACACAATATTTAAGGAGTTTATAGAACACCCAATATAGTCTAGGGAAATAGGTCACCACCTTTATGACTGATGTGATGTCATGGAGTGGGGTCCTTGGGTACCAGTCAGGTAGGGGGCTCCTCCTCTTTTGTTTAGCCCTCGCTACACCCGTGGGTGGCACATTCTCCTTGTTGCTGAAATGTGTTCAGACCCGTCGAGCCAGCGGCTTGACGGCGCCTTTCACCACCAAAGCTCCTGGTGATGCCACCCTCCACCTGATAAAAGAGCCACTAGCAGAGTTGCTGGCAAGCGCCGGCCTGCTGGCAGTCCTCAATTGAAGCATCTTGTAGTCCTGTGAGAAGTTTGTATGGCACATATCCGTGGGGACAGTGATTCAAGAACCACCTAGACAATGAATCAGCAGATTAGTAAATGGACCGAGAAATCATAAGTGTTCTTACAGTTCTGCTCTCGTTCTTCCCCGATTTCTATTGCTCTTCTCCTGAATCTATGCAAGGAATTCTTGGTGCCCTGAGCACTGTTGCTCTTCCCCTGGATGCATGAAAGGAATTTTCGAATGAAATTGCCAAATTGGCAAGAAGAATTCAGAGAGCACGTGAGCAACCTATTCACCAAATAGATTTGTAGAGATGGTATGGTAGGGGCGGCTGGCCGAGCCGCCTCTACAAAGGCTCATCAGCCGCCCCTCTAAAACGCTTCTATAGTAGTGCTATTCACAAAAATCTACGCACCTACTGCTCTACTTCTGCCTCTCCGCGATTTCTCCCAATGTCAATGCGATCCCTTCGACTCTAGGACTCCTGCAAGAAAAACGAAAGGCAAACAAGAGCAACAATTCAGACAAGAGCTTCTAGAAAACAATAAAAACCATCCAAATCCAAGTCGCTCTACTCATATTCCCACCTCAATTCCCCATCCTTCGCAGGTATTCGAACTAAAATAACCCGACAAACACGTCAGAACAAAGCGACCGAGGCTGAACCAAGAAATCCCCAGCAAGAACCAATCAAATCCCCCTGTTGTCCTTCGATTCTCACCTCGAACAGGTCCCCTCAGCTCCTGATCACGCCTTCGAATCCTTACCCTTCCATAGACCTTCAATAACAGAACCAAAAGAAGAGCTGCATCACCGAACCGCTCAAAAAGATGCAAGAACACAGCCGCCGGAGAACAGCAAAGATTCCTCATGATCTGCTCCGCTCCTCTCCGTGCCGCGGTGATCCGGCCCCCACGACGGCTACTTGGTACGATACAGCCCTGATTGGTAATTGGGGTGGGATTTCTGGGTAGATTCTCTAGGGTTTGAGCCTGGATGGAGCCTCCGTCTACTGAGTGGGATGTCCCTAAACCTATTTGAAATGGCAAAATAGAGATAGCCGTTGTACTGTGTATGGCGCCCTAGCTGGACCGCGAGCCACATCTGGACGTTCATGTGGTGAAGCGCAACCGATGGACGGACAGGATGGATCCGGTGTATGGACCAAGCGCATGCGGTTGAGGCTCTGCTCGCAAGTGATGGCTGCTGCTGCAGCAACTACTTCTACGTCTAGTGTTCAGGACTAAAAGAAAATAGCTATAGCTACAACGCTGTTGAATTAGCACAAGCGAGCAGGCGAAACGATGGGTCTGAAATGGCAGAGCCCCGGAGGCCGAAACAAACGGTGTACGACGCATTTGGTGGATCTTGATCTCGCCGTGGTATGGTTTGTATGAATTTCGAATTTTTGGACCATTGGCCTCGCAGAGACGGTGAGAGGGTTAGGGCATATTTGAATTTTTTGTTCAAACTCACCTTACTTCACGAGGCAAGAAATTAAAATAGATAGGGCATTTAGTTCCTTTATCTGCTTGCCTTATTTCCATATAAGCAAGATTTTTCATTGCTAGCTCGGGGGCTTGGGCCACCCGACCCCCCAAAAAAGAGTACCAAGGTGGGCCGCAGGCTTAGTGGCTACACCCACCGGGTACGCTCGCGCGCACCAGGCGGAAAATGGATTACCAGCGATTCCCCTCCTTAGGGGCTGGGCGCCTATGTTTGTAAATGCATGATTTATAGAGACGGTATGGTAGGGACGGCTGGCCGAGCTGCCTCTACAAAGGCTCATCAGCCGCCCCTCCAAAACGCTTCTGTAGTAGTGCTATTCACAAAAATCTACGCACCTATTGCTCGGATCCACCTCTCCGCGATTTCTCCCAACGTCAACGCGATCCCTTCGACTCTAGGACTCCTGCAAGAAAAACGAAAGGCAAACAAGAGCAACAATTCAGACAAGAGCTTCTAGAAAACCATCAAAGCCATCCAAATCCCAGTCGCTCTACTCATATTCCCACCTCAATTCCCCATCCTTCGTAGGTATTCAAACTAAAATAACCCGACAAACACGTCAGAACAAAGCGACCGAGGCTGAACCAACAAAATCCCCGGCGAGAACCAATCAAATCCCCCCTGTTGTCCTTCGATTCTCACCTCAAACAGGTCCCCTCAGCTCCTGATCATGCCTCCGAATCCTTACCCTTCCGCAGACCTTCGATAACAGAACCAAAAGAAGAACTGCATCACCGAACCGCTCAAAAAGATGCAAGAACACAGCCGCCGGAGAACAGCAAAGATCCTCACGATCTGCTCCGCTCCTCTCCGTGCCGCGGTGATCCGGCCCCCACGACGGCTACTTGGTACGATACAGCCCTGATTGGTGATTGGGGTGGGATTTCTGGGTAGATTCTCTAGGGTTTGAGCCTGGATGGAGCCTCCGTCTACTGAGCGGGATGTCCCTAAACCTATTTGAAATGGCGAAATAGAGATAGCTGTTGTACCGTGTATGGCGCCCAAGCTGGACCGCGAGCCACATCTGGACGTTCGTGTGGTGAAGCGCAACCGATGGACGGACAGGATGGATCCGGTGTATGGACCAAGCGCGTGCGGTTGAGGCTCTGCTCGCTAGTGATGGCTGCTATGGCTGCTGCTGCAGCAACTACTTCTACGTCTAGTGTTCAGGTATGAAAGAAAATAGCTATAGCTACAACGCTGTTGAAGTAGCACAAGAGAGCAGGCGAAACGATGGGTCTGAAATGGCAGAGCCCCGGAGGCCAAAACAAACGGTGTACGACGCGTTTGGTGGATCTTGATCTCGCCGTGGTATGGTCTGTATGAATTTCAAATTTTTGGACCATTGGCCTCGCAGAGACGGTGAGAGGGTTAGGGCATATTTGAATTTTTTGCTCAAACTCACCTTACTTCACCAGGCAAGAAATTAAAATAGATAGGGCATTTAGTTCCTTTATCTGCTTGCCTTGTTTCCGTATAAGCAAGATTTTTCATTGCTAGCTCGGGGGCTCGGGCCACCCGCCCCCAAAAAAAGAGTACCAAGGTGGGCCGCAGGCTCAGGGGCTACATCCACCGGGTGCGCTCGCGCGCACCCGGCGGAAAACAGATTACCAGCGATTCCCCTCCTTAGGGGCGGGCGCCTATGTCTGCACGGCGTGCCTCTACAGCCTTCGCCAATCCCCTTCTCAGGGGCTGGGTGCCAATATCCCTCCATCGCGCCTCCGCGGCCTTCGCTAGTCCTCCCCACAGAGGCTGGGCGCCCATATCCACTCTGCGCACCTCCGCGGCCTTTGCCAGTCCTCCACATGAAGGCTGGGCGCCTAAATACTACCCGGTTACCGTACGAAGTACAACAAACCAAGGGGGAAAACATCGAAGTTCCAATAACAGCCCGCCTCCACGGCACAATGGGCACAAGAATTACAAAGCAAATGCGAGCTTTCATTAAGCTAAAAACACAAGCCCCTGGCTTTTACAATATCACGCAAAGCGTGTGTGAACAGCCCCTTCACGGCTTCACAGAAGCCTCAAAGGGGCTCGGGGCCTCTTGTCGGGTTCATAAACCCAGGGTCCCCAGTGGACATGCTTCCCTACAAAACTCAGCCCAGCAGGCGGGGCAGCGACAGCACGCGCCTGGGCCGGCCTAGATACACAATGACAGGCCAAGACCATGATTCGGTGCCCGACCGGCATCTGCGGCCAGGAGATCTGGTCAGAGCCCCGACCGGAAGGCCTGGCCATGGTGGGACCATAGTCTAACTCTGACCCCCTTTCTCCGACCAAGGATACGCCGGACCTCTGCTCGCTTCTCTTTCCTGACCGACACGGCCGGGCCCGACTGGGAACGACTGACCTAGGACGCCCGCTCGGTGTGGGCCCGGGGAGCAGGCGGAGCAGGTAAGGCGCTCAAGTCAACCGCAATACCGAGGACCGTACCCTGCCATGCCCTGCGCACCTGCAAGATGGTGCCGCCAGGCCATGTCAGACAGACACTATACATCCTTCCAGACATGTTAGAACACAAATAGTATTGTGGATGTCGTCGTTTGCCGTCCCTAGCAAACACTGTGCAGCCTGCCAGGTCATGAACAGTAGGGTGGGCGAACACTGTGCAGCCTATCAGATACAACAGGTTATGAATAGTAAGGTCGGCGATGGCATGCTGTAGTTAACGACGTGGGCAACAAGACTAGGTAGCTCACGTACACATTCTCTCCCTTTCCGTCATTGACTTGTAAGGTCATCCCCTTCATCTATAAAAGGGGATGCATGCTCCCCTAAAAAGAGGACGGCTAAAAAATAGCTCAACAGCTCGACAGCTCTAGAGCTCGACAACTACACAGTCTACACACTCTCAAGAGCTGATAAGCTCGGACATACAGAGCATACGCTCCAATACTTAGCGCATGTTTGATCATCCATCACTCTCTTCCACTTGGATCAGAGTCCGACCGGTCCTCTAACACCCCCTTCTCATTCGTTACTCGTTTGTAACCCCACAGCAAATTTGAGCCGTGCCCTTTGTAGATGCCATGACTAGATGCTATGGCCAATGACAGGACGTGCCAAGCGTAGAGTCTAGTCCTGCACCATAGAGCCACGCCACCCTACGGTTAGGTACCGGACCCTGACCCTTAGGGTCCAGTCCCACCTAACCCAGAGTCCGGTCATCTCAAACTCCACCTTCTTGACTCCAAACACTTCACCCTTGCTAGTGTGCCAACTCCAATTATTACAACACATGTGTACATGAGTTAGCAACATTCTAAATCAATTCCCAAGGGTGTTAGGATAGCACACTAGGTTCAAATGCATATGCGTGATCAACAACACCTAGTGGCACTCGATAACCGCTTAGCCATGGTTTTCCCCTCTTAATAGTACGGCTATCGATTCTAAATAAACTCATGCCCTCTATGGTGTCTTGAGTGCCAAAACAAAATCCTATAATATACCTTTGCCTTGATCTCCATAGGATTTTTGTTTTTCTCTTTCTTTTTTTCCAAGTTGGAGCTTGATGACCATCATCACGTGTCCATCTCCATCTCCGTGGACTTTGTCACCATGCTCCATCACTTGGTGTGTACCAACCTATCTTTTCATTTCACTCATGACAAAGGTTAGTACACTTGGGTTTTATCAATTAGGCAAAACCAAACTAGACCTTTCACTTGGTGAATTTTGCTGTTGTGCATATGTTTATTATTTACCATTTGAATAGGTGTTTATGGTAGTGTTTCAAATGGTAGTGTTGGTCATGGCCACAATTACAATCCAAGGGAAACAAATAGATCTATTGGACTTAACACCACACTTAATTTTCATTGGACCTAACACAAGAATGGATAGTGGCTGTAACATACTAAGAACTATTTCTCACCAAAAAGAAAACTACAAATCCAAGGGATGGCCCCTCTCAAAACAATCATTCATTTCCTTGGCAGCTAAGAAAACATCTTGTTGTTCCCATGATGGTCATCAGTTAGGACAGCTGCCTTAACACCGGCAGTGGTACCAGAACCATCAGTACACGGCACCGTCGCCATCAGAGGTGGTGTCGACAGTGCTGCTAGTACTGCACGGCACACGAGCGGTGCGAGGAAAGCAGCACACCTTCGGCCGTGGTTTGCAGCGATCGCCCTGATGGTGGCTATGGTGAGGTGGATGCGGAGGTGGTCTGTCTTGACAGGATGCTGGACGGCCAGGAAGTCAAACTTGCATTGTCTGGGGAGGTGCTCACCACAGAAGCAGAACATGGGGGCACCATAGGCCAGCACCGCCTCAAGGGCATGCTAAAACCTACTGATCCACACAGCCTAAGTCGAGTGCATGGGAAGCAGATCTCGGTAGCCCACCCACCCCAACGCTGCTCTCGCACGCCTGTCCAGTCCAGGGCCTTCTGTGGGTGACGACGAGTGGACATAATGTTGGCACCGTAGCCGGACGCCCACCGCGGTGCCGCTGGGAACGTCCCCTCCCAGCTGATGCCACAGTGCTGGTTGGCACGGATGCTGTGGTCATAGCTCATCACCTGCAACGTGCAAGAAACTTGAGCGAGGGCAGAGCGGTGGCGCTAGGTGGAGATGAATGGGATAGAGGGTGTGGTTTTAAATGCGCGGCCAGAGATAGACCCGTTTGTTGGTACCTGACAGGTCAATTAGTGAAGTATGAAGGTAAAAAAAATGGAGGCGACCATATTTCGATGCTTTGCAAGCGCGAGTCGAACCTGAACCTACTTGTGTGGTTATGCTAGATTCTCTTCTCAGGTAGCAAATGCATACATGTACCATTCCAGAATTCTCTAGACTGTTTTACTTGCTGGCCGAGCGTAGTTTTATTTTGAATTTTTTCTTGGTCCCATGCTTGTTACCTGCCAGACATTCGGACCTGCACTTCTTACAACATAGTATTAATTAGCACACAAGGGAAGCGATGATCTGATAAAGATTTTAAGTGTGGGTGTCCTGATTGTGTTTCATCCTGATATTAATTTAGTTGTTCTGCTTTCTTCTATCTTCAAACGTCTGATTAGATCACCACCAAAATGAACTGCCATTGTCCAGGCTTCAATGTTGTCTAACATGTTAACAGATAATAGATCTGGATTAGGAAAGGCTCCTATTGATCCAATATGGAATACATGCCATCACAAACACCCAACACACATATTTATCTCAAGGTGGCAAACAAGAACATTGGACGGTACATAGGCGAGAATACACACAACCAAAACACAAAGGTACTTAATAACGTCCATGCTAGGATGACATAGGAGTGTAACATTTCTAAATAAGATATTGGAGACCATGACTGTAGGTGGACGCAAGAGGCCCTACTGGGCTTCTAGTTGCACATGCGCTGGTATTAGCGATGGTATATTCGTTGGATGGTACATAGTATTGTGCCATAGGTTACAATGACCTCAAGCAGACTGCTAGGATAGCATAGGGCTCCAGACGTAGTACCTCCGCACTTCCTAGAGGCCTTTGGTGATTGCATCCCTGCCAGGGAGTGCATAAGTGTAGGTTATTGAGCCATTCGGAAGAGGACAGAATAGCGGTTGGAAACTAACACAAACCAAGGAGCATGCATACCTTTAAAGACTCCCAATAGGGAGTATGTAGGGGTGTTCTCTAGCACAAGGCTACATAGTTGTTCGACAAGCTGTACATACCGTGGGTTTGGTCCAGTAACCGGAGCCGCTAGAAGGATATCACCATAGCTTGAACAGATGGAGCCGAGGCGGCCCAAAAGTTTTTTATGAGACTTCAATAGGCTGTCCGTCTGTACGCGCAATGTATCATACCTGGTGTGAACAAGCTGGCACCAACACATGAAGTGGTTTAGTTGCTTATACGTCCTTGAAGGCAGGATAAGTTAGATCATTGATGCAAATATTCATCCTTGCTATAAAATAGCAGATTGCTTGCTCAGAAACACTTTCTTGTGCCTCATAGTCGGTAATGCAAGGGATGCTCTGAAAAGTCTGAACTTCCGGTATGCCCTTGTTGCCCACTTTGGAACGAATCTCAATGCTGAGCCAGGCCATCGTTTTCTTGCTATCCACCTTCACTGCTCCCTCGGTGCGAATAATCGTGCCTATCTTGGGAAGGATCTGTCTTAGCATGCTTTTGCGTGATATGTCAAGTACAACTGGATCCTACACCAAAGTACCGCAAATATGAAGAGCCAAAATACATTTGCGTGTGTATAGGTGGACCCAGGGTATTAGCTAACACTTGAACTCATATACGCACGTGAGTGGTCGCAGCGCAATTAATCACGATGCACAAACAACAGTGTCATAGTGTGAATAGTGTTAGTGAATGGGGGTAGATGATAACCAAATACCATCGTGCTTGATTCCAAGCCAACTAAATAAAGTAATACGTGCCACACGGGGACATGGGCATGCAAACCATCTGATGGAAGTGGTGGCACGGGGACACGGGCATCCAAACCATCCGATGGAAGTGGCCGTACTAGTTCCTTGATGATGCTCTTACCCTTATCCATGTTGCTGATGACGCTCTTACCCTTATCCATGTTCCTGCTAGATGAGCGGCAACTTATTGTCTGAGATATATAACATACACTGGTGCACATGTAGGCCACATAGCTTTTAGATTTAAAATAAGAGCAAATATAGTTAGGACTTCATGTTTACTTTTTGAATACCAGTGACGGCAACCAGACTGTAATTATATTTGTTCCAGATAAGAATTCACACTGGCACATGCTAAGCTCCTAAAAGAGGACCAAATAAGATAAGGTTGTTCAAAGTAACATTAATGATTTCACAATGGATGTTCTTGTAATTAATCTATTGGACCACTGCCTGGCACGTGGACCGGTGAGTGCTGTTTTCCTACCTATACTAGGAACTTATCGCAAGAAGAAATTTGGAAGGCTGAATTACCTACTCCTGACCTATGCCTGCTTGTAGACTGCCGGTGCAGTCCTAGACCTAGAACCTACCATATAAATAGACAAGCCTGCGCAGGTGGAGTATTGCCGGTGGACATGAACCCATGGGCAGGTGAGCTACATGCATGACAAGGATGGGCTACCTAAATAAATGTTGGTACCGATAACAGATGGTGCCTTCATTGAGATGCACCTCAGGCACGCAACCAAACTGGCAGGGCATAGTACGAATGCCGGATGCTGTGCATTGCTAGGAACACACTTGGCCCATCCTTATGTCTATGTCAGCCTGAGTGGGTGCATGCGTGATTGCGTGCACAAGAGCTGTACCTTATGTTCACTGGCAGGATCACCTTAGGGCCCCCTACCCTAGATACAGTATGTTTTTAGGACTCTGTGCCAGTGTGTAGGTGCACCTTAGGGCTTCTCCAGTGATGTTTTAGAAGTGACTCATGGGAATATTTTAATTAGCATGAGTCGACGGAGAGACCACTGCAGCAAACCGATGCATGGAGTGTGTCAGGAACCGACCACGAAACATGAGCCAATTCATACCGATTAAAATAGTATTCATGCAGAAAGAAGACAAGGAGAGAAGGGATGAAAAGCACCCGTTCACTTGTGCATGTGTCCTGCTCATGGGGACAAAATAATTTTTTATTTAATTGGCTCACGGGAAGAGTCGACCCGCCACTAGAGGTTATTGGAATCGACTCACTGCCGCAGCTTACGTGGTCTTCTCTCTCTAAAAAATCGAATAGGTTTTGGCGCCAGCCTAGATAGGTTTTAGAAGTCTGTGTCAGTTTCAGTATATGCACGCGTGCACAGACATCTACATTTTTGCCTGGCTACATGTATCCATCCACACCATGCCAAAACATGCATTACCCCTTGTGTATTGGACCTTTCGTCCTGCTAAGACTGTCTCCAATGGTTGTCCCATATGGGCACCCATACCTAAAATGGGTCTCGAATGATACTGTATCAGCCTCCAACAGAGCATCTATATGCGAGACCTATTTTGGGTTATAGCAAAGGCACAACCCAAATATGAGTATCCTCTCTCCTGGAGACTCGTTTGCAGAAAGGGTTCTCTTTTGGGTCCTGTTATTGGAGAAGACCAAAAATAGGTACGGAACCCTTTACCTGTAGCGCTACCCAAACGTGAAATGGGTCTTGTATTTTGAGTAATGTTGATGGAGATAGCCTTGCTTCTGCAGATGCATGGCCATATTTCACTTAGTTGCTCTATTACTTCCATTGACCAGCTTTGTGTACCTAACTTCATGGACAATGGTGGAAGCCTCCGCCACACAAACAATGACAGTTAGCAGGAGCTCATTTTGCAGCCCCACACTCATTAGGTAAGGTGTCATGGCCTGCACACACACAAAAACAAATATATATGTATGCAAGTTCTAATATGTTTTAGGCATACTTTGTCGAACAATATATTAATTTAGTTTGCAAACCCTTCCATTAGAGTTTGATGGATGTGATATATAAAAGCCATCATCAGGGCCTATCGTCTGACTTACAAACTGTTCTAATAGGATTGTATGGCGGCTATATGGGAAAGGACATTATTCATGCAACGAGTGATTTGTCCCCAATAATAGAGCTGCAGCGGCAACATCTACGGCAGCACGGTGGCCCCGAGCATGGGTTTGGTGGCGGCGGAGCTCGACGTGGTTGCTAGGGCCACGGATCTTGTCATGCTCACTGGAGCAGTGGAGCCATGGCTGAGCGCCACCTACATGGCTGGTCGGCTGGCCGGCAGCAGATTTGGGCGGAGAGGCGAGAGAGAAGGGGAACAAAGATATTGCTCTACTCTCTGGCCCACAAGCTAAAAGGTGACAAAGAGCTTGTGGACATCGCCTGGCATCGTGTCGGCTCGTCCGCACCCCTAACCCATTGGATCACTAGTTCTAGCACTTCAAAAAGGTTCTGTCGACCCAAAGCAACCAAGAGAGCTAAATGGGTAGAATGGGTCAGGAATTGGGTTCACCAATTATGACCCAGTTGCATCGGTAGGCCATGCTGCCTCTTCCTTGGTCGGCGAGAGGAAGCCCCATGTGCCATCGATGTGTCCCTGTGCATGGTCCGAGGACTACAAAAAAAAGATGCATTCAATGAAGTGTATGGAAAATTGAATGAGCATGCATGCAAGGACAACACAAAATTTGCGGCTGTCGTTCCCAGATAGAACAGTTACTACGATAGGAGAAATTTTACATCACATGTGTCTTCTTCCCTTACATCCATAAATTTACTATCAACTAGGAGTTTACACACAGGAAATTTACTAGTATCAGCTAGTACTCCTTTG